ATCCGACGAAGAAGAATCTTGATGCTGATTTGTACTCTGATTAGTGGTAGGTGAAGTAGGAAGCTCCACCTCCATTTGAGCATACTCTTTATTTGCTTCAGATGATACATCTGATGCATCTGTTCTTTTAGAAGAGTCAGCAACTGGTTGAATCATAGCAGACTCATCAAAAGTAACATCTCTTGAGGTGATAATTTTCTTCAAATCAAAGCTCCATAACTTGTAACCCTTTACACCTTGATTGTACCCAAGAAAAACGCATTTGATTGCTCTTGGTTCTAGCTTCCCATTGTCAACTTGTGCATACGCTGGACATCCGAATGGTTTTAAATCTGAATAATTGGCAGGTTTACCGGACCATAACTCAAACGGAGTTTTCTTCTCGATTGCTCGTGACGGTGATCGGTTGATAACATAGCAAGCAGTCGAAGCAGCCTCCGCCCAAAAAGACTTTGGCAATTTGGAATTAGAAAGCATACACCGGACCTTCTCCATAATGGTGCGATTCATCCTTTCAGCTACACCATTTTGTTGAGGTGAATGGACTACTGTGCGATGTCGAGTAATGCCTTCCTTTTGACAATAGACATTAAACTCTTCTGAGCAAAACTCAAGTCCATTATCCGTACGAAGATACTTTACCACCAGACCTGATTGCTTTTCAACCTGAACTTTCCAATTTCTGAAGGTATAGAAAACGTCTCCTTTATGTTTTAAGAAGAAAGACCACACCTTCCTGGAGAAATCATCAATAATAGTGAGCATATAAATAGCTCCACCTTTTGAATCAACTCGAGCCGGTCCCCACAAATCCGAGTGAACATAATCAAGTGGTCCTTTCGTTGTATGGATGCCACTTGCAAACCTCACTCGTTTTGCCTTGCCATATATACAGTCTTCATAGAAATCCAAATCAACAATCTTTTGTTGACCAAGTAAACCTCTTCGACTCAATTCTGACATGCCTTGAAAATTCATATGGCCGAGTCGAAGGTGCCAAAGACGGGACTGATCTGGATCAGAAAGAGACTTTGAAACAACAGCAGCATCACTCGAAATTGTTTGCCCATCAAGAAAGTAAAGATCTGAGGTTTTTCGTTTGGCTCTCAGTTTGTCGGAGCCGTCTTTGAATACCCTGAGAACTCCACCTTTACCAGCAAACTCGTATCCCCTTTTGTCAAAGGAACTGAGAGATAACAAGTTTCTTCTGAGGTCAGGAACATATCTAACATCCCCCATGGTTCGAATAACTCCGTCAAACATACGGATCCTGACTGAACCATGTCCAAGAACTGGACATGTAGTATTGTTACCCATCAACACATAGCCCTGGTTAACCTTTTCAAATGTGTAAAACCAACTTTTGTTGTGACACATATGAAAAGTACAACCAGAGTCGAGTATCCAATCACCAGTGGAATCCAGTTTATCTGAATAAACTGTCAAAAGTTCTCCAATACCTTCGACCTCAGCTAGATCGGCTTCACCCGAAGTGCTAGCTTGTTTACCATTTGCTGCCGTCTTCTATTTTTCTTTGTTCTTCAACTTGAAGCATTCTTCAAGCACATGTCCCTTCTTGTGACAATAGTTGCAAAACTTTCGTTTGCCTTTTGACTTGGATCTGGTTCTGTTGGAAGATTGAGAAGTTCTATTTCTCTCTGTTGTTCTTCCTCTGGCATTCAAACCTTCGACTTTAGCATCACTTGAACCACCACCAGTAATATGCTTCATCTTCTCTTTGGAATCCAAAGCTGTATAGACTTCATCTAAAACTAAAGTGTCACGGCTATAGATAACAGTATCACGAAAATGGCTATAGGATTCTGGCAACGACGACAGTAAGAATAAAGCCAAGTCTTCATCTTCATACTGAACATCCATATTCTCTAAGTTATTTACTAACTCTTTAAATGTGGATATATGTTCAGTTAAAGAGCCTCCTTCAATCATCTTGAGATTGAACAACCGTTGCTTCAAATGCAACTTGTTTGGTAAGCTCTTGGTCATCAACAGTTGCTCCAACTTTAGCCATAAAGAAGCCGCTGACGTTTCTTTTAGAACATCTTGCAAAACATCGTTTGACAAGTGCAAACGAATCTGGGATAAAGCCTTCAGATCTTTCATCTCCTTTTCTTCTTCGGTCCATGTATCGGGCATCTTATTGAAACCCAAGAGCGCCTTGTGTAAATCCATTTGAATGAGAATGTCTCTCATCTTTACTTGCCACAACGGAAATCGTGTGTTACGATCCAGTAGTGGAATATCGTATTTTACCGAAGACATGATTAATTACTTGATAAAATGATCCCAATGAGCTAATATTACAACCCGGATGCTCTGATACCAATTGTTGTGAAATACGAAGGATCCGAATAGACTTAAATAATATTAGCTCAATGCGGAATGGGATCAAAAATTATCAAAGCGTAATAATCACAACGAAATACGAATAAAATAAATAGAATAGAGACACAGGAATTTACGTGGAAACCCAAATCGGGAAAAAAACCACGGTCGGAGGAAGCCGAGAAACAATTCACTATAATTTGCAGTGTTTACAGGGATTATGAAAGAGATTACAAATAGAGTGAGAGGGCTAAAATATATGGTGGTGTATCAATATATATATATATATATATATATATATATATATATATATATATATATACATATATAATGTTTTACTATATAAATATATTTGATTGTTGGGTTATATGTGGGTTAAGTCTCTCTGGCTATTTATAGCCAAAGAGGAGAATACAGAAGAAAAGAAGAAAACAAATAATGTCGTCCAAAAAATTGCTGCGCTCCATTCCGTCCAATTCCATTTTCAATTTCATATTAGATTACTATTCATAGTCAAACTATGAATAGTAAATGATAAGTTACGGAAATAACCCCTGAACTATTTGCCACTTGCTAATTTTGGAGGCAACTTTTCCACAGATCGAGTCTTTCTGGCCCCTGTGAACATCTTTTCTTAATGTATTAAAGAGGGCCTCTCTAACCGGTGAAGGTGGGTGTCCACTAACGGCCATTCCTGGCTCGGCTCCGATAACGCAATTCCGGGAGGAGTCGGTAGTTGGGCGCTGGATCCCTTCGGACCTAGAGAACGTGTGACGCTGAGTCGGGCCCTAGCTCAATGTAAAAGCTTTCTTTTTGGGGACAATTTCTTCGATTAACATTGGTTTATGAGTTAGAATTTTCGATTTTCACAAAGAAAGTTCGATTTAAGGACAATATTAGGATGTTTTTGGTAAAACTGTGCAAAAAAAAAAAAAACGGGGTGTTTGTTTAAATGCATTTGCTTTCTTTATTGTTTGATTGTTGAAAAAAAACAAACAAATAAACACGGGGAATGACAAGAGACAATGAGACATAGAAAGAGTAAGACTTAGAGATTCAGAGACACATACCACGACAAGCGGTGAAAGCAACACTCTGTCACATCAGCGGCGCAGAGCGGCGCACTTCCGTGAGACCGGTAGCCGGTGGCGGAGTGGGAGGGTGGGGTTGTGGGGTCTTTGAGGGAGTGGGAAGGAGCGGCCTTTGGAAAGTGAAAATAAAGGGCTAATTCTAACACCCAGCTCCTGAGTTCAGCTTAAGGAGGGGAGAAAAGAAAGGAAATGGGTGGAAGCGGAAGGAAAGTAAGAGAAATTGTTGTTTCCGAGTTTCATTAAAGGAAGTGGAAGGAAATGAAATGATCACTTTCCCTCCTAACTTTCCTTCCGATTTGGGAGGATTTGGAAAGAAAGAACAAAATGTTTAACTTTCCTTCCATTTCTTTCCAACTCGGGAGCACAAAAGACAAATTTATTTTCCTTTCTTTTATGTTCTTTTCTCTCCTTACTTTCTTTTCTCTTCTCTTTTTTTTTTTTGCTACAACTCGGGAGCAGGGTGTAAAAGAATAGAGGTGTACGTATATGGACCGTTTTTTTTCTCATTGGACTTTTCATGACGATTTGGACTGTATGTGCGGAATTTTTATTTTTTTTTATTTTTTTCTGCAATATTAAGTATTAAAAAGTATTTTGGAAATATTAAGTATTAAAAAAGTTAGCTTAAAGTTTATAAAACTTTCACATTTTGATGTGGTAAAAATGATTTCGTAATCGCTGCACTTCATTACATTATCTTTTGGCACTTGGAACCACTTGTTTTCGTTCTTGGACACACTAATTGCAACATTATGTTTTGTAATTATAACTAGCTTTCTCTCCTAAGAAAACCTTGTGTTTTTGGAAGAAAATATTAAACATTGTAAATCCATTTTTAGCATATGAAATTTGTTGTTACCATCCTAATGTAAATAAGTACGTTCAAGTGTTCAATTGTTGCTTTAGCTTTATCATATCTATGTGTTTTCTAAGTAACTTTAACCAATGCCTTACCATTTAGGAAAAAATGTTTGTATTTTTGATGAGGTGTGTGGATATCCGGTTATCCACGGATCTGCGAACTTAGTCAATGACCTCTAAATAGAAATTGTTTTTCTCTTTTCCCAAAATTCCATGGTAAAAATAAAGGTTTTCTTTTTAGCAAGAAAAACTTCAAAAACTTCATGTCACAATTCGGTGCTCATTTAAGAAAAAGAAAGTCAAACAGAACAACTTTTGTAAATTGTAAAGAGCGTGTTTGTTTCAACCAATGATGTTTAATGCTGTTTGATTTTAGTTAACTTATGAAGTATTAATTCCTAATTTTAGGACTTATTAGGCAACATATCAAAGAATTCTTTTTCATTGCTAGCTCTTCATTTTTACATGATAAGCATCATCAGCTAGCTCTTCTAATTCCATTATTTGCAAAATGTTCCACACTAGAGTTTCAACATTTCAACATACTAATATCTGACCTAATGCACTAAAAACTCAAAATATAGAATCCGCCCCACTTCTTTTCTTGCAAACATAGCTTACAAGCTATAGTTGAAAGACTATCACATCAAACCATAAACCCAAATCCCCCACAAAATACTTGGAACTATAAGATATAAACAACTATATTTGTAAGTTAAGGGATAAAGAATTGGTGGAGCATACATACCAAAGGGACATAAAAGCACAAACCACTGAAACAACATAGGCACTACTATCTTTAGATTCAAAAAGAAACTCATTTTGGGAAGTGAATTCATACGGTAAAATATCACCACTAAACTGGGAAAACGCCTGATGTTTGACCCATGATTCGGGCACCCCATACTTTGGGAATAGCCAGATGAATATGTTTGATAAAGCATCTTCTGAGAGCTTCTCCATAGTCCTTGAATGCTGTTGTGAAGACATTTCCGAGCCAACGGAGATAGCCACAATCTCTACAAATTTCATCTTGATCGAAAATACCTGTAACATGCGATGGAAACGTTTCCATCCTTTGTCTGATTGAGTCCCATGAATCTTTTCTCATGCTATAAATCTCTACTTGTGGTAATATTTTGAATGATCCAGAAAGCTTTGTAACCTTTACCACTTTGTAATCATCAGTCTTGGGATCAAACCCAAACCCAAACCCAAAATTAATATCATCAGGATCAAACCGTACTTAAAGCATATTAAGCCATTCACAGAGCCAATGACACTTATTCAATGCTTATAGAAAAAAGTAATAGGAATAAACGATAAATACCACCAATATAATTTAAGAACTAACCAACATGTCCAAAATTTAAACACAGCATGCTTACAAGCGAGAGTGTAGATGTAATGCACTAAAGTAAATGATTGACAAGAAACTAATTAAGAAACATAGCATCAACCAGAGTAGTAATAACAAAAGATTTGATATGTTGCATTTTTCTTATAGCCATCTTGAACCTAAGAGATGCTGCAACATATCCTGTCATGCATGCTCCGCAGGTGCTACCCAAACAAGATTGTCAACATGCTCTACAACTTTCGTTATGTTTATTCCATTACTCATTATCTTGAAGGTTTTAGTCATGGCTGCAACTGGATCATACAAACCATAACGATCATCTCTGCCAACTTGAAAAAGAAACTCACTGTGTGATGTGAATCCAAATGGATATATTTCACAACCAAACTGTGAAAACACATGATGTTTGACCCATGATTCAGCCAACCCATACTCATCCATCACCCACACCTCACATCCACCATCATCCACACCTGACATCACACAAAGCTTTCCACCCAAAACTCCTAACACATGGTAGCGGATTTTAGGGTGATGTAGTATAGAATCTGGAGGAGGTATCTCACGGAATGTCTCTGCACCCAAATCAAATGCCAATATCTTTTCTTGCTCCACCTCCCCATACGATCCAGTAGTGCCAAGGAAGCAAAGCCAATGAAGATGGCCAACAAGGCCATACACAAAAGTTATGCTTCGACCCTTAGGCACTGTCATGTACAAGGGACACTGTCTAGTATAGCAATTGTATAGTATAGCAATTGTATAAACAATTCTAGTATAGCAATTGTATAAACACAGACAAATATATCAAAATATCTCTTTGATTGATTTGGAAATATAACTCAAAACCAAACTTGTTTACACTGTGTTTGTGTTGTACTGCATATTCATAACTCGATATATGCTATATATATATATATATATATATATATATATATATATATATATATATATATGCTAGAGTAAGCTTTATAATATAAAATACAAAAAATACCCAACATCTTGATGGTATTCCTTTTGCTTTTCCTGGAAATATGGTGAGTGGAAGACAAGGAGGGAATTAAGGAATTGAGATTCCAACAATCACCCCCGAATCTCTAAGTCCTTCTAGAGATTCCCGATCACCGCCAATCTTTAAGTCCTTCTAAAGATGTCTTCAATCCCGATCAAGTCCCGCATTGTCTTGAACTTGGTTCGAGCCAATGGTTTTGTGAGAATGTCTGCCTTTTGTTCTTCACCTGGAATGTACTTCACCTCCACTTGTTCCTTTTCAACACACTTACGAATGAAGTGAAACCTCGTGTGAATGTGTTTGCTTCTTCCGTGAAAAACAGGATTCTTTGTGAGTTCGATAGCTGACTTGTTATCAACTCTTAGGACCACCTTCTCTTGTGCTTTGTTCATGATTTCGCCTAGCAAATCTTGAAGCCATATTGCTTGACATGCAGCCGCAGTTGCAGCCATGAACTCCGCCTCGCAAGATGATAAAGCAACAGTATCTTGCTTTTGAGAACACCATGTTATTGGAGACAACCCATAGTAGGAAAATATGACCAGTTGTGCTTCTTCCGTCATCTGGATCAACATTATGACTACTATCACTGTAACCAATTATTCGATTTTGTCCCATCCTCTCGTACTTGATTCCGTATCATGTTGTTCCTCGTAAATACCTTAGGATGTGTTTGATTGCAACACCATGTGATTCTCTTGGATCTTGCATGTATCGACTAACAACTCCAACCGCATATGCCATATCGGGTCTTGTCTGCAAGAGATATCTAAGGCATCCTACCAACTTTCGGTATTGTGTCGGGTCGATTTCGGGTTCATCTTCGGCCTTCGACATTTTGGTTCCTGGATCCATGGGAATGTGGGTAGGATTGCAATCATGTAAACCGGCTTCCTTCAGAATGCGTTGTGCATACGCTTCTTGGTTTATTGTAATCCCCGATTCATCCTGTTTGACTTCAATGCCCAGGTAGTAAGTTAATCTTCCAAGATCAGACATCTCGAAGTTCTTGGACATTTCAAATTTGAACCTTTTGATCATGCTCAAATTTGTACCTGTGACAAACAAATCATCAACATTGATTGCTAAAATTAGCAAGTTGGATCCTTCGTTCTTCCGGTATACCGATGGTTCTTTCATGCACTTGTGAAATTTCATTCCTTTCAAAATCCCATCAAGTTTTGTATTCCATGCTCTCGGTGCTTGTCTAAGACCATATAGTGCTTTTGAAAGACGGTACACCTTGTGCTCGTCGCCTTTCCTTATGTAGCCTTCCGGTTGATACACATAGACGGTTTCTCTCAACTCTCCATGTAAGAAAGCCGTCTTGACATCCAAGTGGTGAAGCTCCCATCCGTTGGTAGCGGCTAAGGCAATGAGAAACCGTATGGTTTCGATGCGAGCTACCGGAGCAAATACTTCTTGAAAGTCAATACCAGGTTGTTGTACGTACCCTTTAGCAACCAACCTCGCCTTGTGTTTGTTTATGGTGCCATCTGCATTTTTCTTCAGCTTGAACACCCATTTGAGTCCAATGGGCTTCACCCCCATAGGTTTGTTTACGAAAGACCAAGTATTGTTCTTGTTGATCGAATTGATTTCTGTATTCATGGCTTTGACCCACTCTGGTTCTTTCTTCGCCTCTTCAACCGATACCGGCTCGTCATTGGTTGCTAGGAGAAGTTCTTCAATTTCATCAACATAAAGTACATAATCTCGCAATCGAATTGGAAGCACCTTTTGTCTTGTGGGCCTTTGGTTTTGAACATTGTTCACGTTGTTGTTGATCGGACTTGGTTGCTCATTTTCTTGTACCTCCACTCCGTCTTCAATCTCGTGATCCGATTCGTTTGGTTCGTTGTTTACATCGTTTCCTTGGTTGTTGTTTGCCTCATCTTCCAGTAAATCCCATGGTACTATGAATGATCCTGGTTCTTCATTGTCAGGTGTAGCTTCGTTAACCCAATTCCATCCTTTGGTTTCATTAAAAATAACGTCTCGACTTACGATTATTTTTTGTGTAACCGGGTTAAATAACCGATAGGCTTTTGTACCCGGTTCAGAACCAAGATGAACCAATGGTCTTGATCTTGCATCCAATTTTTTCACGTTTACCGGTTCAACTTTTGCATACGCTAAACACCCAAAGATGCGTACGTTCTCCAAATTAGGTTTTCTTTTATACAACTTCTCGTACGGAGTTGTATCACCAAGTACTCTTGTGTAAACACGGTTGATCAGGTTTGTGGAATGTTTTACCGCTTCTCCCCATAGATAGTTTGGAACATGCATCGCCTTCATGATACTTCGTGTCATGTCCATAAGTGTTCTGTTTCTTCGTTCCACAATACCATTTTGTTGTGGTGAATATGGGGCGGTAAGATGGCGTTTGATTCCATTTATATCACAAAAGGAATTAAACTCGAGCGAAGTAAACTCACCTCCTCGATCACTTCGAAACACCTTTAAAGACTTTCCGAGCTCATTCTCTGCCAAAGCTTTAAATTTTTTGAAGTGTAAAAACGCCTCATTTTTCTCTTTTAAGAGAAAAAACCACATATACCGTGAAAAATCGTCAATTAGTGTGAAAATGTATCGATTTTGACCCTTCGTTGACGGTGTTATCGGACCACATAAATCACCGTGAACTAGCTCCAATGGTCGTGTTGCTTTGTACGTCGTTATTAATGGAAATGACTTTCTTGTTTGCTTGCCCACCAAGCAAGATTCACACAATTGATTCTCACTGTCAAAATAGGGTAACCCTTTGACTAGACCTTTCTTGGATATCTTTTTCATTGACTCGAAATTGATGTGTCCAAGTCTTGCATGCCAGCGCCACGTGTCTTCACTTAGTCTTGAATGAAGGCAAATAGGTACTCCAATGGGCAACTGTATTTTATAACGGCGGTTTGGAGTTCTTTGTACCTTCATTAATAAGCAGTTGTCGGCATCATGCATTGTCAAATAGTTGTCTTTCATCTGAATATCGCACCCGGCTTCGGTTGCTTGTCCGAGACTGAAAATATTATTTTTCAAATCCGGAATGAAATAAATCTCCGTTATCAATCGTTGTTGCCCCGATTTTCCTTGGAAAACAATTGAGCCTTTCCCTTTTATTTCGACACACGAATTATCACCGAATTTGACCTTTCCGTTTATTCCTTCGTCGAGTTCGGAGAAAAATGAACGATTTCCCGTCATGTGATTACTTGCCCCGTTGTCCAAATACCACACATCGTTTTCTTGTGAGTTGTATCGAGACGGTATCACCTTCTCTTCGTTCAAAAATACGGACTCGTGTAGAAATACTGTTTCATCGGCATCGTCGTGTTCAGCAAAATTACTTTCTTGGAATTTTTGGGTTCGGTCCGGACATTTGGATGCGTAATGGCCCGATTTATCGCATCTGTAACAAATAATTTTTGACAGATCTTTTTTCGGGTTACGGTTCGAGTCCGAATTAGAATTGGGCCGGTTATTGGGCTTATTATTGTTTTGGGCCGAATTGGGTCGGGTTGATTTTGACCCGGATCCATTCGAAGACCCGGCTCCACCGGATCCACCTGACCCGGTTCGATTAAAACCCCCCGAACTCCCTTTTCTTCCCTTATTCGACTCCTTCTTCCCCGATGATCCTCCAGAACCGCCACCACCTTCGTTTCTCCATCCGCCACCACCACTCGTTCTAGCCATCAACACCTGTTGTTGCCCGTCTCCGCCCTCATCTCCTCTGATTCTTTCTTCGTATGCTTTCAGACGCCCTACGATGTCGTCAAAAGGTACCGTCTTTAAATCTAGCACTTGCTCGAGGGAGGCGACGATATGAAGAAACTTTCTTGGTACGGTTTTTAGCAGCTTTTTCACCATCTTCGTTTCTTCGATGGTTTCTCCCAGTGACGTCGATTGGGAGGCGATTCCGGACAGTTTCCCGGCGAAGGAGTCGATTGATTCTTTCTCTGACATCATCAATCTGTCGAATTCGGAGTTTAGGGTTTGAAGTCGGGCTTCTTTTACCCGATCGGCGCCTACATGTCGAGTTTTGATTGCATCCCAGAGAGCTTTAGCAGATTCGACATCACCCAATTGCATGATCGATGATTCCGGCATTGCTTGGTACAACAATCCGATTGCCAGGTAGTTTTTATCATCATTACTATCTGTTCCTGGATCAATCGATGTCCGAACCTTGTGTATACGCAGGACGATCTTCATGCGTAGAGCCCAGACAGTGTAATTTGTCTGGGTTAACATCGGGCAAGCCACCGATGTGGTTCCGACTTCCTTGATTCTGAACGGAGGAGTAGCAGCACCAGCACCTCCATCATCTTCAACAGAAGACATCTTCTAAACAGATAAGATTCCTTGATTTCACAGCTCTTCTTGATTGATTTCAAAGCTCTGATACCAATTCTAGTATAGCAATTGTATAGTATAGCAATTGTATAAACAATTCTAGTATAGCAATTGTATAAACACAGACAAATATATCAAAATATCTCTTTGATTGATTTGGAAATATAACTCAAAACCAAACTTGTTTACACTGTGTTTGTGTTGTACTGCATATTCATAACTCGATATATGCTATATATATATATATATATATATATATATATATATATATATATATATATATATATGCTAGAGTAAGCTTTATAATATAAAATACAAAAAGATACCCAACATCTTGATGGTATTC